AACTCCCCTACCTATAAGCTAGCACGTTTTCTGTCAGATACCTTGCTACCTTTCACTGGCAAGACCTCCTCAGCAGTACTTAACTCAGCCCAATTGGTCTCTATGGTCAAAGACGTTGTACTGTCCCCCGACGATATCCTTGTCAGCTTCGATGTGGTTTCCCTGTTCACCAAAGTCCCGGTACCTGATACCATTGAAAAATTTGAAAATTTGGTACAACATGGACTAGACCCCGATACACCTGCGCTGGTTAGACACTGCCTCACCAATTCCTACTTTACTTGGAATGGCACCTTCTACACACAAAATGAGGGCTCCCCCATGGGTTCTCCCTTATTACCAGTGATAGCCAATGTTTTCATGGAGAAATTTGAATCAGACGCCATCCAGACTTCCACCCTCAGACCTTCCCTGTGGAAGAGATATGTAGACGACACTTTCGTCATTTGGCCACATGGCCTCCCAGCTGTGAACCTCTTCCTACACCACATCAAATCCAGACATCCCACCATCAAATTCACCATGGAAGTGGAGAAAGATGGCAAGCTGCCATTCTTGGATGTTCTGTTTGAGAGGAGACCTGATGGCTCATTGGGACATTCTGTCTACAGGAAACCCACCCACACAGGTTCCTACTTGAAACCTGATTCCCACCACAACCCGACTCAAAATAATTATCTCATCTAAACGTTATACCACAGGGCTCATTGCTTTTCGGACCAACACCACCTGGCCAGTGAATTAAAACACGTACACCTGGTCCTCAAAAGAAATGGATAATCTGACCGTACCATCTGCCAAGCTGTTTCTCCCTCCATACAGAATCAACCACTTGATACTCCGGTCAAAACCATCACACTACCATATAAAGCAGGCGTTACTAAAAAGATCTCCAAAATTCCAAACAAACACAAGATCTTGGTCCGGTTCAACACAGTACACAAAATCCGTGACCTGATCCCATCAGTGAAGGATGTCATTCCTGACTTACAGTACCCTGGGGTTTACAAATTGAGCTACACTTGTGGTGATTGCTATATCGGGGAGACGAAACGACATGTCTCTGACCGAATTCGCGAGCAGAAATCAGATTTGAAACACGGCAGAACTAATTCTTCTGTCGTAGCTGACCACTGTTACAACGCTGTTGGTGATCACGATATAGTTTTCTCCGATACCAAGGTCCTTTGTAAACCCACAGGTTTTCATCAGAGATTTATCCACGAGGCAATTCAGATTTACAAACACAGACACAATTTCAACCGAGAAGATGGTTTCAAATTAAGCAACCATTGGAAAGATGTTCTAAATCATACCAAACATTAAACTAATTTTCAATAGTATTTATCCAAATAGTGACATACCAAACTTTCATAGAAGCTTATTTCACTTCACACCTACATTTGTAAACTCCCCCCCCCCCCCGCCCCATGCCGTGACCTGATCCCATCCGTGAAGGATGTCATTCCTGACTTACAGTACCCCGGGGTTTACAAATTGAGTTGCACTTGTGGTGATTGCTATATCGGGGAGACGAAACGACATGTCTCTGACCGAATTCTCGAGCAGAAATCAGATTTGAAACACGGCAGAACGAATTCTTCTGCCGTAGCTGACCACTGTTACAACGCTGTTGGTGATCACGATATAGTTTTCTCCGATACCAAGGTCCTTTGTAAACCCACAGGTTTCATCAGAGATTTATCCACGAGGCAATTCAGATTTACAAACACAGACACAATTTCAACCGAGAAGATGGTTTCAAATTAAGCAACCATTGGAAAGATGTTCTAAATCATACCAAACATTAAACTAATTTTCAATAGTATTTATCCAAATACTGACATACCAAACTTTCATAGAAGCTTATTTCACTTCACACCTACATTTGTAAACTCCCCCCCCCCCCCCCGTGCCGGTCCTCTACGTTCCACTTCACACCCCCTCCCCCCCTCCGTGCCGGTTCTCTTGTCCTTTTCGGTCATTTTATGCTAATTCCTTTGTCAAAGCGTTTTATTTCCTCCCACACAGCTTAAAAGGACGCGACCTGGGCTGGACTGTCTTCACCCCAACGCTGTCCTCGTGACAGTACGGTCCACTTCACCTGATGAAGGCCACTTGTGTTGTGGCCGAAACGTCGTGATTTTTGTTGTTTTATTTTTTACCTACGTGACTTTACCGAATAGAACCAAAGAGCGGAAGTTTGTTCCAGTGAAGGGGGGAGATAAGAGACTAAGAGCAAAAACGTTTTTGAGCACTATACAGAGGAACAGAAAGAGTCAACAACATTTTAGAATGTAAAGGGCTAGAAGGGATGTAAAGAGATACAAGAGTGGCAAGATAGGGTGTGACAAAAACATGAAGCGATTTGTAGACCAGGGTGAGGAATTTGAACAGACAACAATAATAAACAGGGAGCAAATGCAGTTAAGCAAAGAGAGTCGAAGTTTTAGAATTATAGAGAAGGTTGAAAATCATACATGCTTTGGATTAGTTGAAGGGGAGCAAAGGCATTAATGGGGAGACCAAACATAAGATGGTTACAGTAGTCCAGACGAGTAAAGATAAGGACATGGATGAGGAGTTTTGTAGCAGAGATTGAATTAAGCAGTCAGATTTTGCGAATGCTGAATATGTGAAAGTGCAAGTAGTGGTAAAAATGTGATCGGAAAGGGAGAGGAGGGAACGAGATGGTGAGACAGGGAGGAGTGGAACGGGAGTAACGCAAAAAAACATTTGGGTTTTGGAAGGGTTGAGTGACAGAAACTGACATGACAATCAAGATTGGATGGAGATTAGACAGGATGAGAAGCAGTAAACGAGGTCAGGAGAAAAGGAAGGAAAGGAGAAGATAATCTGGATGTCATCCACAAAAAAATGTGGAAAGTTGAGCGAAGAAAGGAGAGATTTGAGCTAAATATAGAGAAAGACATAGCGAATCCAAATATACCCTTGGGGCGCACCAACAGTGAAGGGGGCTTGGGGGGGGGCATGATTCAATGAGACCACAGAGGTGGACAGAGAGATATACGACTGTAACTAACAAAGTAGGGAGAAAAGTAGGATTGGCAACAATGCCAAAACTGAGCACAGATCAAGCAGTATAAGAATAGAAGAGAGACCGGCATGAGCAGAATGCACAAGACGATTCTGAACTGAAAGCAAAGCCATTTCAGTTGAATGGGAGTGATGGAAACCAGACTGGAATTGTGGTTAGCTGAAGTCAGACGACATCTAGTGGGTAAGGTGAGAGTGTTCCTGGCGTTCTAAGAGTTTCCAGAAATATGGGAGAAATTGAATGGTAGTTGGAAGAAGAGGTATCAAAATAATATTTGTTTGAGGAGGTGAACAATAATGGCTGACCTATAGATAGTGGGAACAACACAAAAGGAGAAAAAGGAATTGAATAGAGACACCAGATAAGGGAACACTGGTGGAAGGAGTCGGTGTAGAATGGAATCAGGGATGGGATCAAGGAGAGAGGAAGTGGGATAGGTATTATAAATGAAAGAGGAAAGTTTTGTCATAGAAGGTGTAGGGAAATGGTGAAAGATTGACATAGGGGAGGGGCTGATTAGGTAAGCTTGGGGAGGAGGAAGAATTAAGGGTAGAATGCATAGATTCAATCTTGATAGATGGAGACATGGTAATTAGTCCACTTGCTGTACTGCCTTTTCATGACGAGCCAGGATATGGCACATTCATGTCCACGGGAATGGCGTTTCACAACATGTGTGCGAGCCACCACCAACCCTCATCTCCATAGTACTCGATCACAGGTGTGTGCGACTACCGCCTGGCGATGTTGTAAAGAAACGTGGTCAAGACCCTGTGAAACAGAACCTGTAAAGGGTTAACATCCCCGACTCAAACATCGGCAACTGGCCAATGTCTGGCACCGTATCATCGAAGTGGGTGTGCAGCATTTGTTCTTCATAAAAATCGCGTTACGCATTTGTGGTGCCTAGGATGGAAATGACATTCATTTAAACACAGCATTCATGGAACGTACCTTTATAATTATACTAGGTTTTTTTACTGAAAGAACCAATAATAATTCTACATCATAGACTGCCTACTGGCAGTCACTGAGGTTAAGAACCAGGCTACAATCTACATTATAGACTGCCAATACGCTCACCAGCTTAAAAAAAACAGGCTACAGTCCACATTATAGACTGTCAGTACGCTCTCCAAGGTTAAGAACCAGGCTACAGTCTACATTATTGATTGTCAGTACACTCACCGAGGTTAAGAACCAGGATACAGTCTACATTAGTGTTTTTTGTTTTATTATTTTTATTTTATTCACTTTATTTTTCATATTTTTATTTTTTCTACGTGACTTTACCGAAAGAACCAAATAATAGACTATGCTGTAAGAAAGCTACGGTTAATTAATTACTGCTTGCTGTGAAATATTTGACACATTTGTCTCTGCATCTTCATTTGTCTGTTTAAATCTGAATGTCTGTAGCTCTGTCTCATAATTTCCTTCAAGTTGCCACACACAGAGAAACAATTGTGTTTGCATGCTTGAAACATGTTTCTCTATCTGCTTTGCAATCAAAGTTTATATTTTAGATTTAAACCAATAATTTATTCGCCAAAAAAAACTCCAATGTAACCTACATTTTGTCTTGGTAAGTCTTCGAAAAAATGCAAAATTAAACTGGATTAAACTTGTTTTTAGCAAGCGCTTAACCAGAACCAAACCGTACAAAACAATTTTGAACTGATTGAACAGTAACCGGATCAAGTGTTTTTTGGATAGTCTGAACCGTAACTTATAATTAATTTATTTTGATTCCCAAGTTTAGACCACCAACTCAAAAGAGGTGAAAGCCTGGCCATATTGACCACATAGATCTGTCTGTCCAAGCAGGTGTTAGTGAAACAAAGAAACCGGATTCATCCTCAGTGGGAGTAATCAGTACAGTACAGTCATACATTTTTACTTTCATGCAATAAAAATGTAGTGTTTATTTAGCTGAGCTTACGCTGTCCTGTGAGGATGACTCCATCAATGTTCTTGTATTTGACCTCCTGGTAGATGTGGGAGGTGAATTCATTCGCAACCTCTAGGAAGCCAGGTTTGAGATCTCTATCTGGAATGGTCTCCAGCTTGCTTAAGTCTTCTGGGTTGACTGGCATGGGGAACATGAAGCACTTGCGCTTCTGTAAAACAACAATAAAAAAACAAGCAACATCTCGTTCTCATACTTGTCTCTCCACACAACATAGTATTTTTTTTATTTCACACACACAACCCAATGACCACACAACCTCAGAGTGCATCTCATCCGCAGCAAGATGGATGCCAATGTGGATGCCGGATCAGGAATCCCACCGGCCCTCCCCCTCCTTGTCTGGTGCCTTTTTCTTTCCCTCATCGTCACATGGGGCCCTCTGAAATGTTTAGTGGCGACTAGGTCTTGTTGAGTCAGAAGTGCCTCCTTATTCCACGTAAAATATCCAATCAAAAATTAATTGGGAAAAATGTTGCTTGAACAAAGTATTTCCACGAATCTGTTCCACGTTTCTGGAATACGCTTGCCGCTCAACTACTACTTGGTTCCTACCCTTAACTCCCCTTTTTACGTCTCTAACAGGTCCCTGCAGGGTGGGCTGGTAGGAACATTGGAATTTTTTTTACACCCAACAGCACGAGATTTCACTTCGTTAAAGTATTGAAAGGGGACGGACGGACGGACACATTAATCTATTGCAGGCTGGTACACTCAGTTTACAACTTCGTTCCTACCAGCATAAACCAAATCACTATCTTACTTGCTTCTTTCTGGCGCATTTTTCTCCCATTACATTTTTTCACTTACGACCATTGACATACCTCATATGTTGTGCAATATTCCTTAAGGTCCATGTACTCGTTCTTTGCAATATTAATGTTTTTGTCTTTGTTTTGTTGTTGCTATGCTTATGCCCCACATATCTCCCTTATACAGGGTGGGCCATAAGTAACTACCTGATTTGAAATAGCGGTATTTTGTGTGAAATTATTTTGTTAATATTTTTTTCCAGAAATAAAGCAAAAGCCTGGGAGCTAATGATGAACCGGTATATACCTCAGTAGCGTGCAAGAATAGTTTAAATTAATTTCAGAGGCTATTTTATTATTTCAACACAGAGACTATCGCAATATTTTAAGACCCGAATAGCTCCAACTCCGCACTATATTTGGGCGTTAATTTCCCGATTTCAGGAAGCAGGAACAACTTGGTGAATGCCGAACTAGTCGATCTCAGATCTCTATTGAGCAAGTATGGGAGAGTGTCAATGAAAACCTCGAAACTTTGACGAGACGCTCCACTCAATTGGGGATCACACGATGGTCGCTGCCGCGAATCTTGCTACAAAATGTGCATATTGGTCCACGTAACATTCAGCTGGTGCAAGAATTGCAGCCCAGAGGCCATAAAAGCCTTCGAGAGAACTCGCGTGCTTTCATTGATGAGAGTGATGGAAAATGCCGTTGAATGTGCACGGATTTGCCAACGCAATGCAAGCGATGATTTACTAGATATTATGTATTTTTTATAGAATTATATTCAATCATTTTCTTTTATTAATAATTAATTTGCAAATTTGGACCATGATGCCAGCACACAATGGCATACACTTCTATTTGATGTCCAGCCTTTAACGTCTGCTGTGAAGTAGACGGCGCATATTTTCAAGGTTAATACACCCAAAGCATTAATTAGGATGACCGCTGAAATCGAAACATGAGCCTCTGCAACAAGTGGTGAATGCGATACCACTATGCCAGGGGTCGGGAACCTGCTGCTCTATAGTCGCATTCGGCTCTTTGAGGACTGCTTCGTTGCGTTATTTATTAAGGACCTCCATCTTATATTCATACGCATTGCGGCTCTTGAAATATTAGAAAAAAAATGGTTATATTCTTAGCTCTTTCGGTAAAGTCACGTTGAAAGGAAACAATAAAATATATATAACAATAAAAATTCTCACGACGTTTCGACACACCTGATGACGACCGTTTGTGTTATGGATTTTGTTGTTGTATGTTATAAGAGCTGCGAAAGTTTGGGGTACCACTACTTGAAAAATATACTGTACCATTGAAATTAGTTCAATGTTTAGTTCGATTTAGAACATCTTTCCAATGGTTGCTTAATTTGAAACCATCTTCTCGGTTGAAATTGTGTCTTTGTTTGTAGATCTGAATTGCCTCGTGAACAAATCTCTGATAAAAAACCCGTGGGTTTGCAAAGAACCTTGGTAAAACCCACGGGTTTTCATCAGAGATTTGTTCACGAGGCAATTCAGATCTACAAACACAGACACAATTTCAACCGAGAAGATGGTTTCAAATTAAGCAACCATTGGAAAGATGTTCTAAATAGAACTAAACATTAAAACGAATTTCAATGGTACAGTATATTTGTAGAGGTGTTAACTACGCGCTGTTGCGTAACCTGCGTTGCCACCAGGGCAGTGCAGCATTACCCCTGGGTACAACGGTTGGGGTCAGTCGAGGTGAAACGGATCGTGGCCAGGGTTTGGTGCGAACCAATCAGACGGTTCCACGTGGGAATGTATGATTGGTTCTACCTGGCCACGAAGGGGTATAAGACGGGTAACCCAACGGACCTCGGGGAGTTATCTCCCTGCACGAAGATAGAAGACTTGGCTGAAGCCTAGCTAGGACCCTGGACCAGCCTTTCAGCCCTTCTAAGGGCTAAGGCTCGGCATACCCAGTGGTCAGGACCCACCGGGCCAGCGGTGGGTCAGATAGCCTCCCCTAGGTCCGAGCCGGAGGACTAGGATAGCGGTAGACGTGTGAGTCCCGCCAAGTCCGGAGGTTGTACCTCCTTAGGTATCAAGGAGGTTAGCGGTAGACGTGAGAGTCCCGCCAGGTCCGGAGGCTGTACCTCCCTAGGGTATCGGGTGAGGGGACCGAATATCCCTCTGTGTGTGTTAAGCGTTGTATAAGGAAATAATACAATAAACAGAGTGTGCCTCCTAAAGAAGTCTGCTCGTCCTTACAACACTACATATTTTTCAAGTAGTGGTACCCCAAACTTTCGCAGCTCTTATAAATTCCCTTTTCACACCATCAATAGGTAAACTCCCCCCCCCCCCCCCCGCGTCAAACGGCAAGTCCACCGGCACGTACACCACCTCTTTTCGGCCAATCAAATGCTAATTTTTATGCTAATTTCTTTGTCAGGACACCTTGTTTGCTCGCACACAGTTTAAAGGTCCGCGGTCTGAGCGTGGTTGTGTTTCACCAGATTTTCCTGTTTGATTTGTACTAGGTGCCTCGGTGAATGTATCTGCTCTGACTTTAACATAGCTATTTCTGCGACCAGTTACAAGCTAATCACTCAGCTATTTCAATGCTAAATTATATGCTAATTCCTTTGTCAAGGGGTGCCTCTGCAGATGTGTATACTTTAACTTAGCTATTTCAATGAGCCATTTCAATGCTAAATTATATGCTAATTCCTTTGTCAAGGCGCTTTGTTTCTTCTCACACAGCTTAAAGGTCGTGATCTGAACGTGGCTTTTTTTTTCACTCCAGCGTTGTCCTCCAGACAGTCTCGTCCCTTCATCTGATGAAGGCCGCTTGTGTTGTGGCCGAAACGTCGTGATTTTTTGTTATTTTATTTTTTTACCTACGTGACTTTACCCAATAGAACCAAAGAGTATGGATCCTAGCAGTCACGAAAGCTTTAAATCTAGAAGTCCTCCACTTCATAAACACGTCAGATCCCTCCTTAAAAAGAGTCGTGAGACTCGGTGAGGCATTCTGTGTAACCAAGCAGGATAAGAATAGCAATTACAGTTGAGACTAGATTAAGTTTAGAGAGTGCTTAGACCGATTTCATCACCCATTTTCAGTAGAAACAATCATCTCGCCCCATTCAAAGCAGATTAAGAATATGTGCATGAATGGGTATTTAATGGAGTCTTTACCTTAAAATAGTGGCACATTAGTTCGCGTTCCTTGTTGAATGACTTGTTTGCTTCTTCTCTACCACGTTGTGTCTCTGACTTGCGTATTTTAAAGCAATGCTCCATGTAGTTGTCGGCAGTGCAAGGCGATCCATTCAATTCCAACTTCAGACTAAAGTCGCGTACGCAGATGATGAGGGATGGGAAGTACTTGTCCAGATTATTTGAGTTGTCTTCATGAGATCCTACCCTTGCTTTGACGTACTGCGCCATATCCTTTACATACCTGGATTGGAGTCGGAGTCAAGGACATTTTACAGAAACAGAGTAATTTGAGATCAAGAGAAAATTTGTGAAAATACAAGACGTGTGAAAAACTTTTCAAAGCCGGGCAAGATGGGGAACGATTCTTTCCATATATGGAGAGTGTGACAGACTTTCAATAATTTTACCATTTTTCAATAACAAGGTAAAGGTGCAGCCCTGAAATTCTTTCCTCACACAACTGTTGTGGAAGGGCCTTCACTGGAAATAGCTCTGGAGGATGTTTGCTGTATTCTTCCAGGCTGTTGGAAGAGGTGGGACTACCCACAGTTAACTTACTGCACGCAGCCTGCCGATCGACTATGTGTAGTGTTACACAATCATACTGCTGGGTATAGAGAGTCAGTGGTGCTGATTAAATAAACTCCCCTCATTGTTTCAACTGACACAAGCGAGATTAAATAAAAAAAACCTCTATTGCAAGTCCAGTGTACTAACGATTGCATGAAGGCAGCTGTATAATTGTCAAATAACTACATTTAAGTTATATGTATAAATCAATAACATATGAAACAAAGTTTAGAAATAAGTTAAATATTTACAACTTATTTATACTTTTAAACATCACTATTGTACAATTTAATCCGAGTCACTCACTGTGCAGCAGATGAGTTTCTGCGGAATACGGAAGAGATTGTATGACGAGCTTGAAAAATGTGTTTTGTTTATTTGCTAATTAAATGTAGAATAAATGTAAAAACACAAGGGAAAGAGAGCACTAACAGAGCATGTGGATAGCTAAAGCGTCCAAAGTCACGGGTTCACCGGTTGCATCAGTTACTATGTGGTCTCTGATTTCCTTACACTCTTTCTTTCTTAACACACTTTTAAAGTAAGGTAATACATGTTTCTTTGGTTCAATGCATACATATTATTTATAAATTAAATGCATTCACACTGTTTAAAAGAGCAATGTCCAGAGAAAAGTGTAATGACATTACCAGCAGATCACGTGGTATGCTGATGCATGCAAATTCACCCCAGAACGCCATAAACATTATGTGGTAAATATTACATTAGAACACACAGGGTTTCTGTCGCAAATATCACTGGTGGCGTATATAAATATTTTCTGCCACCCCTTGGTCATTTTGCTCCACCTGATATCTGCCAATGATGCACTTCTATTCCGCCTCCTACTGGAGATCATTTCTCAGGCAACTCTCTCTTAGACACCTTTAAATAACTTATTTTACCTCCTACCCTTACCCAGTCTATCTAACTCATTCCCATTTTTCTCATTTGTATGTATTGACTCTAAGACGTGTCTTGCATTATGGATACATTCCAATATGTAACACAATTTTTGTTCCTGGGTAGTAAGTGTTATTTCGGAATTGATTATGCCTAAAAGTATATAAAATGGCTATTGTTCCCCACAAACTTTGCTTTTGTGACCAGGACAGTGATATTCTGAAATTTATCTATTTCAATGAGAAAACGGGCGAATTTGTCTTTTCGGTCACATAAAGTCAGAAAAAACAACATATGAATCAAAATTAACATATTTATACTAAATTAATACAAAAATGACTACAAAAGATTTAGAATTGAGTAGTTTTTCGAGATTTACGATTAAACTTTAAAAAAAAATACGAATCAGCCCCCAAATGGTGTCTCGCATTGTGTTCTGTTATACTCTCCTTGGTAGCGGCGTTCAAAGTCCAGTATGTCTTGGTGGAAGCACTCGCCTTGCTTCTCCAAGTATGCTTCCATGTTCTCCTTGAATATATCAAGATGAGCGTCAAGGATATGGACTTTGAGGGACATCCTACAGCCCATTGTGCCATAGTTCTTCACCAGTCTCAACAAGCTCCACGTAGTTTTCGACCTTGTGATTGCCCAGGAAGCCACGAACCACTGTGACAAAGCTGTTCCAAGCCGCTTTCTCCTTACTTGTGAGCTTCTTGGGGAATTAATTGCACTCCAGGATCTTCTTTTTCTGTGGTCCGACGAAGACACCAGGTTTGACCTTTGACTCAGACAGCTTAGTGAAGAAGTCTTGAAGCTACTTGAAGGTTGCCGACTCCATATCTACAGCTCTGACAAATTTTTCATTTGATATGCAGTGGTGGCATCAGCACCTTCCGGGCATCCACCAGTGGCTCCCACTCGACCTTGTTCCTCCCCACAGAGAACTTGGTCCGCTGTGGCCAGTCCCGCCTGTGGTAGTGCGCCTTGGTGTCCTTGCTGTTCCAAAAGCAAAGATAGCACGGGAACCTGCTAAAACCACCTTGGAGACCCATCACAGAATGCCACCATTTTGAAGTCTCCAATCACCTCCCAGCTGTGCTCATCATACTTCAAGGAGGTCAGCAAGGTCTTTATGGGTACTTGTTGCCATTATGGAGCAGCATGGCTTTGAGGCTTCTGGATGAGCTGTCCATGAAGATGCACCACTCATTCTGGTTAGAGGCGATTCCAATTGCCTCGAACAGACAGGTTACATTGTGGCAGAAGCAGAGCCCATTATGACGGGCGAAGAAGATGCAAAAAGGTTGGTGACGCTTCTTCTGATATGCGAATTGCACACTTGCATCCAACAAGTTCCACTGCTTGAGCCTAGACGCCAAAAGCCCGGCATTGGACTTCGTAAGACCAAGATCTCTGATCAAATTGTTGAGGTCTTTTTGGTTGGGGTAGTATGGGCTTCTCTCCTCAGCTCCACCTCTGAAATTGTCATCTGGATCTACAACGTCTTTCTCGCTCTCTGAATTGTTTTTTTCTTCTAAAAACGGCTGCTCTTTCTCCGGAGGAGTGGGTACGGGGAGCTCATGGCAGTGTGGCACCGGGGAAATGGATGAAGGAAGGTCAAGGATATGTGATAGCAGGTGCATTCTTGCCAGTCCGATGTTTGAAATGGTCCACCATGCAGAAGTAGCAGTTGCTTGAGTGGTCAGTGGGATTGCAAACTTCATGGCTCTCTTTTCCCCTCTGTACCATCTTAAAAAAAAATATTTCATCCATGAATAATATTTAAGCAATTCTCCCAACATTTTTCATGTATATATATTTTTTCAATGACATTGAAAATGTTAAACATTTTAAAATGTAAAACTTTTTCAATTTAAAAATTTTTCACAAATTTACAACATATAATTCCGAGCAACAATTGTCCATCTTACCTTCCAGAGTTTTTTTTGCAATGTTCGCAGGTTAAATGAGGTGCCCAGGGTTTGTCTTGATCCCCGACAGGCATGTCGAAATATGCCTTTTTGGCCTCACACATCCTAGCAGATACTTCCACAGAGTATTTTTTCGCTCTCGTCTTGATAAATTGGCCACAGACATTGCAAAATGCTCCTGCTGCATGCTTGCAGACTCTTGATGCCATCTCATAAAAATGCAGATATGTATCCAGATATGTATGTATACACTTAGGCAGAAGGAAATAAACTGAACGGCTTAAGGCCCCTGTATTTATACTACTATTTATATTTCTGGAAAGTTATTGAATGTTCTAGGAGTTACTCCAAGTTTACTCAACACTGAATCTATCTCAAATGTTCTGGAAAAAAGGTACATTTCAAAATATCAGTATCCTGGTCACAAAAGCAAAGTTTGGTGGGGAATAATAGCCATTTTCTCTACTTTTGAGGTATGAGCAATTAGGAAATACCACTTACTACCCAGGAACAAAAAAGTAAAAAAATGTTTTATATATTTTATTATTTTATTGTTTCTCTTCAACGTGACTTTACCGAAAGAGCTAAGAATATGTTACACAGTGTTAACAATGTGTGTTGTTACTGTTCTGGATATCAATCTCAGCTGGGAACCGCCTTCCGTTCTGTTTTACTCTTTTGTATCATCTGATATTTCTTTCCCCCAGCCCTCCAATAACGTGTAAAATATTCCTCTCATTTCCTAGATCACGGTCGAGGATTCCAGTGGAGCATGATCATGTCTATCACATTCTTATTATGGTTTACCCCGAGTGTGTATTGTTTTTGAAAAGCAGAAATAAACTACGGACAGCCTTTCCTTTCGTATGGAGAGTAATTAGTAACCAATCAAGTCTGGATTTGGGTTTTTTTTGGGTTTATTTATTGTAAGTTAAATATATTTATCCATTGATTTGGACAGCCTTTCAAGCTTACCCCAAATTTCAGCTGCAATAAGTGTAATTGTGCCGAGAGTACAAATAGGATGACAAGGTGAGGATTTAAAGGTCATAAAAACAAATATTACTGGTGCCACCACACCCTGCTTACTTTTCAATAAATAAAGTATTTGTTGTAAATTCGACTCGTTCTTTAAAGATCATTGTTAAAGTATTATATAAACTGTATTTTGGTCTCCTACTTGGTCGCTAACCTCTTGCTGCCACACCAATGCCTGGCTTGGTAAACCTGCTGCATCTTGCACATGCCCCACTCATTGCAACGAATTCAATGTGAAATAAACTACTATTTACTGCAATTTCTTATTAAATTTTACATTTCTTTACTTATCCTTGATTTATAGACAACTAGTGGTAAGTACCTGGTGTTGCCCGGGCGAAAAAGACAGACACATCGACCTACACACAGACATTGACCTACACACACAAAGACATCGACTTACACAGACACACATATAAATTCATACAACAACAACCGCCATTCGCCACTAAGTGGCGGTGACGTCACCACGACGCTTGTGCCAGGACATGTGCACCTTGAGGCCACGTGGAGTGTCGAACGCCCGCTGGCAGGGGGTTACGGGGCAGACCCAGGTGCCACGGGTCGACTGACTGAGATGACTGCCTGATGCACCACCTGTGCCCCTTACTGTGCCAACCTGCTGTGCTTTAGCCACCCGGCGCTCCGCTCGTTGTTGTGAGCGTCGCTCCTCTGCCCTCCGTTGTTGTTGGAGGGCGACTGCCTCCAACTGCCCAGTAGCGTCCTTCACGAGCCTCCTCCACAGAGGCCGATCTTGACACCACTGGTACCAGTCATCGGCAAGTCCACTCAGCTCCAC